CCTTAACGCTTGATAGCATGGCTGCACCTCAATTCTCAACGATTATTAGGGCGTTCGGCACCAACTGACAACCCCCTCGTTGTTGTTCACTTGTATTGGCGCGGTGAAACCGATTGGGATCGATCGGTGCTCCCTACACCCATGAGAAGAGCTACTGAAAGGGCACAAACCAGCGGGCACGATCTGTATGAACGCACACAGTACATTACCATCGCTGTGGCCGCGTGCGCAGCACGCCAATTTGTGTCGCGAGCGTCCGTCCCCCCTCCTCTGTTGATCAGACTGCCTGCAGACACGGTGTAATGAAAAATCCGAAAAAGAGTGAACAATACGAGACGCACTTGGATGGAGGCGAGCGACGTAAGATTTCACACCTACTTTTGCAATTTTTCCAAGCTCGTTTCTCAACGGCAGATAACGTGGCGATTCCGAAAATGGAACCACTGCTCTGCTGCCGGCTCAGCGACCATGGGTAGGGCAACCCGGGAACGAGTTATATTTATTTCGCGCGAAGCGCGAAAAAATACGAAGAGGCGTATTCGAATGACGCGTCCTTTCGTTGTCTCAAAGTTTGACAGAAGGAATCCATGTGTGGTTATTCAGTGCCAGAGGTTGCGGGTTCAATCCCCCTCAGCGCCAACCTTTGCTGCTTCCTACTTGCTGCCTGTGCCGCCAAAGTTATTTTTTGCGGCGTGGGGCACACCTAAAAACAATTACGATTTACGATGCCCCCAGGTGGTGCTGGCTCGTTGGTCAAAGACTATATATAATAACCATAGGCCGATCACTAGGGGGGGGGGATGGCAGGGGACGCCGTTGATGCGCGGCCGCTTTTTTTTTTTTTCCGGGCTGCACCCAAATTCCGCCGCCTGTCGCCTGGCACTGAGTACCCCCAGTTCAGATCGGATTGAGCGGAGACCTCCGTACCTGCCGAGGGTGCCGCTGGGCTTGAGCGATGAAGCTACTCCTTGCCCTGCTTTGGGTAGCAGCTTGGGCTGTGAAAGGTGGGTTAGCAAAAG